GCACTGGAAAAGGGTGAAAAAAGGAACGTGGCAGAGCTGGGGCAGCAGCTCCACGCCTGGCTGCTCCCCGGGGGGGCTGCACGGAGCCTCCCTGCCCTAGGGATGTGCCCGGGAACCCGCCCTGTCCCCCTCCCCGTGGCTCTGTCACCGTCACCCACCTTCTTGCCCTGCACCCTGCGTCCTCCCAGCGCCCAGGAGCACCCACGGCACAGGGGATCCTTTGGGTTCCTTCCGTTCTTGGAACACGAAAACCCCCAGAAATCCTGTTTTTTCCCCAAATATTTAAGGAAACCGAGGCACCAGGCACTGACACACGTGGGGGCCCAGACAGGGGGTGCTGGCACTGATATCCTTGGGGTTAGGGGACACAGAACCCAGATGGGGAGCAGGCTGTGTGGGGAGGAGACACCCCAGCACCACGGACAGGATGGCTTCTCGCAGCATTTATTGCCAAAATGACAAAACACCTCCCCAAAACCCCTCTGCCCTCCTGGCTCTGCTGCCCCCCTCTGCCCCACGGTCACCTGGTGGTGACCCACATCCAGCCAGAGCTGCACAAGGGGACACGGTGGGGACAGGGCACGCGTCGGGGCCGCGTCCCATCAGGCCAGGACGGGGAAGGAGGCGGCGGTGGCCACCCCGCAGTTGTTGTCCTTCATGGCCATGAGGATGTAGCCGTCGTTGCCCCAGTAGGTGGACCAGGAGTTCTTGATGAGCCAGTAGCTCTTGCCGTGCAGCACCCCGTAGCCCACGGCCAGCACCGCGTGGTCCAGCTCCGACGTCTCGTTCCCTGGGAGGGGGAAAAGAATTAAAACGTTGACGTCTCCAGCCCCATCCCTGCTCTGGGTGCAGCCCCTCAGCCAGCCCCGCACCGACGTTACGCCCCCGGGGTGCCAGCCCCAGACCCCGTGAGGGGGACAGGGACCCCGCTGGGTGCCCCCCACCCAGCTCACCGCAGCGGGGCTCCTCGTAGACGCCGTTGGCGTAGAAGGCGAAGGATTTGTGTGAGGCGTCGATGTTGACGGCCACGGGGCCGTGCTTGACCAGCGCGGCTTTCAGCGCCGTGGCGCTGCCCGGCTCCACGTTGACGTAGCCAGCGAGTGGGGCCACCAGCTCCGACTGGTTGCAGTGGCAGTAGCCGTTCTGGGGGGGACACGGAGGTGGCACCGGGGTCCTGGAGAGGTTTCCAGGGTGCAGGGTGGGAGCACACAGCCCCCCGGGCACCCTCACCTGCCCCAGGTACGGCCCGTAGGACTCGGTGCTGGCGATGCCGCCGTGCTTCTTGATCCACTCGTAGGCTCGCCACTCCTCGCCCCCATCACACGCCTGGTTCCCGAAGCCCCAGGAGCAGTCGATGAGGACTTGCTGGGACAGCGGGGTCAGCACGCCGGTCTGCGGGGAGGGGACACGCTGCAGGGATGGGGACCAGCACCCTGCGGCCACCCCGGCCGTCCCCGCTCGCTCTCACCTTGAGGAAGAGGGCACCCTCCATGGCACCCGTGGTGGCGAAGCTCCAGCAGGAGCCGCAGACAGCCTGGTCCTTCACGGGGGTCACCGCGCCTGGGGACAATTGGGGTGGGTGAAAGGGGAACTGGGGCAGGACTTGAGGACCCGCACAAAGCCTGGAGCAGAAAGCAGAGCCCAAACCTTGGGCACGGTCCAAGCTCGCACCCCGCCGGGTCCCTGCTCACCGTACAGCCTCCAGTCGAGGCTCTCGGGGAGGTGGAGGTCGGCGTAGAGCTGGCTGGGGAAGGGCAGCCCGTGGTTGGGGGCCCCGCTCCGGCGACGGCCCCGCAGCGCCGCCAGCTCCTGGGGCGTGCGGTCGGCCAGGTGGTTCAGCGCCAGCGTGTAGGAGAGCGCGGCGCGGTTCTTGGAGTGCACGAACCTGGGGACGGCGACAGGATGAAGGTGCTGCGGGACGAGGGGAGCATCCCCGATTCCCCCCCCGGGTCTCCCCAGCACCTCCCCGTTACCGCATGTTGTGGATGAAGGCGCGCTGGCGGTGTTCATGCTCCTCCTCGCTGCCGTAGCGCTTCCCAAACCTCTCCCGGTAGTGGTGGAAGAGGCGGTGGTGGACGTGCGCCGCGTCCGTCCCCACAAACTCCCGCATGGGGTTGGCCACGATGCGGTGCTCGGGGCCGGCTGAGGGCCACTGCTCACACTGCACGCCTGCGGGGAGCACGGGGAGGGGTCCTATGGGGTCCATCCCCGCAGCGGGGTGCAGCGCCCGCACCCCAAACCACGGGGGCGCAAATTGGGGTTGGCACCGGGGGGACACCGCACCCAGCACGGGATCACCCAGCTCTCAGCATTTTTAGGTTTCTCCCCACCTCCTTTTTTCCCCCCAGCCGATCGACCCGAATTACGGGGAGCTTGGCAAGAAATTAAAACAAATCAGAGGACGCAGAGCCGCGGGGTGGCACCGGCTGCGCAGCCGCTCACCGTCGGGGAGCTGGAAGACCTCGGGGGAGAAGCGGTGGCTGAAGGTGGCGTAGTCGATCTCGTACTTGTCGTAGTGGGAGCCCAGGAGGCTGTTGAAGCCCCGCACCTCGTAGTGCAGGGGCACGGGGCCACGGGCCGAGCCGCCCACCCGCAGGGTGTAGACGTTCTTCTTGTGGCCCCAGTAGGAGACGTTCTGCCAGACGGCGCAGCGCTGCCCGCGGAAGCGCTCCTCCCGCACCCACTGGGCACAGGGACACCGTGCCACCACCGTGTCCCCAACGAGCCAGAAGCACGCCCCAGCCACACCGTGCCACGGGGTGAGAGCCCTCCTCCTCCTCCTCCTCCTCATCCTCCAGCACCCAGGGCTGGATCCAGCCTCACGTTTACCCGTTCCCAACCACCTCTGCCCTCGTACGGAGGCATTTACCCATTCCCAACCACCCCATGCCCATCGGTGTCCCTTGTCCCCTCCCCTGCCTCATTTCCAGCTCCTCGGGGACCATGCCCGGGGCTGACCTTGAAGTTCTCCAGGCTGGGGAAGACGCTCTGCGGGGTGACGAGGTCCCCGTCGGTGCCGTTGATGCGGAAGCACTTGCGGACGTTCACCTCCGTCTCCGTGGTCTCCGGCGTCACCTTGAAGCTGGCGCCGAAGGGCTCGACGGAGCCGAACTGGTAGGTGACCACTTGGCCTGGGGACGGGGACAGCACCGGGTTCCAGCCCAGCCCGGCTCCCAGGGGGTCCCCAGAGGGAGCAGAGGGATGGGGGCAGCTGACAGCCCCCGCGCACCCACCGCCGTAGTACTGGATGCGGCTCTTGCCCCCGGTGAGGTTGTACCAGGCTTCGAAGGGCTCCCTGATCTCCGCGTAGGGCAGGCTGAGCACTCCTGTGGGCACCCCGGGACCCCACAGCATCACCACCCCGCTCCCACCCGCAGCACCCCACAGCAGGGACGTGCCCAGCCCCGGGTTTGGGGCACCCGGGGGTGCTGGGTCCCTTGGCTGGCACCGGGTCCCCGAGCAGTACCTGTGACGTGGTAGATGTCCCCAAACGTGGGTGTCTCCAGCAGAGCTTTGCTCTCTGCTCCTGGAAAGGAAAAAAATAAAGAAAAGAAAAGCAAAAAAAAAGCCTTTTAAGCTGCTGATGGCCCACCTCTCCATGCACAGGGCTGCCTCAAAGCCTGCAAAAAAAAACTAGGAGAGGGGGGACAGCCTGGGGGAGCGCACCCTGCCCAGGCAGGGGGTCCCCAAGGCGGGGGTCCCCGCTCCCCCAGGCCTCCCCCTCTCACCCAAGGGTGCAGCCAGGGCAGGGGGGCTCTCACCCAGCAGCAGGGCAGCCCCCAGCACCAGCAGCCACCCCAACCCCTCCATCCTGCACGCCCCAGCCCACGGTGCTGCCCTGCGCCCACGGGTGCCTTAAATACCCCCGGTGGGTGGGCAGGGAGCTGCTGGCAGCCCTCGGGCACGGCCCCATCCCTCCCGTTGGCCAGGATCAGCCCGAGGGGGAGGTGGGGCTTTGTGCTGCCCTCCCCAGCCCCCCCACGAGCACCCAAGGGTGCCCTTCCCACCCGTGGCAGGGTGGGTGCTGATGCCGTGCGCTCGCAGGGTTTGGGGTCAGGGGGAGCAGGGTGGGATCCAAATGCCTGTGGGCACTGTGGTGGGGGCACCCCTGGTGGGTGCTGGGGGTGCCCCCAGCACTTCAGCTTGTGGCACCCAGGAGAGCACCCAGGAGAGCACCCACACCCTGCACCCACACCACGGCCCCTCGGGGTGCTCCCTGCCCTCCTGGATGCCCCCCTGCCCCCCCTGTCCCCATGGTGGGGGGCATGCGGGACTCTCTGCACCCCCTTGCATCCTAGCAGGGCGAGCCCAGGACTGCAATTAGAGGGGGGTTAATTGGAAAAAAGGAGAGAGCCCAGATGCCAGGAGCGCCGTGGGGAAGGAGGGCCCGGGCAGGAGCGCGGCGGTGGCCTTCACCCCCCCTACTTGCAGCGGGGCCAGCTGGACCCCAGCCCAAGGTGACAGCGAGCGCCCGCGGGGCCGCCGAGCCCCAAACAACACCGATAGGGGCTGGGTGTGGGATGGCTGCATGCACCACAAGGCACACGGGGGCTGCTGCCCCCCCAAAATGCTTCTGCCCCAGAGAGGTGACAGCCAAGGGGGGAGGACAGCCAGAGCTCGCCCTCCCCGTGCCGGTTGAAGGATGTTCCCGTGCCAAACCTGGGTTTGTAGGGTCCCCCCAAACAGGGAGCAGCCCCACAGGGTGCTGAGGAGCCCGGCTGGGGGCTGGGGACACCACAAGTGCCACCCAGTCCCGGAGCCACAACAGAGGCAGGGCAGTGGGGCAGAGGGTGGCTGCCCCCCCCCCTCTCCCCGTGCTCCAGGAATGTCTGGTCTCAGCAGAAAGCCCCGGGGGTGTTTGTGCTCCGCTCCAGATAGGGCTGGGAGAGCCTCGTCCCTCGTCCCCAGGGGGGCTGCTGAGGGCAGCTGGCTGTCCCCAGGGCCGGGACAGGGACCTGAGCCAGGCGGGCAGCGCTCGAAACCCTCCCGTAGCAGCCAAATTTATTTTTTCTGGGGTCTTTATTGGCAAGCCCACGGCTGATTTCCCAGCAGCCCTGTCCCACCACGTTCCCATCTTGTTCCACGTCCGATTTTCCTCCTGCACCGTGGGGGTCCCCCCAGGTCCCCACCTCCCTCCCGCACCCCGGGTCACATCGAAGGCTCTGCTCGGGGCTGGGTGCCCGCAGGTTCCCCCCGCAGAGCTGGCAAGTGCCATCAGGCCAGGATGGGGTAGGTGGCCTCGGTGGCCACCCCGCAGTTGTTGTCCTTCATGGCCATGAGGATGTAGCCGTCGTTGCCCCAGTAGGTGGACCAGGAGTTCTTGATGAGCCAGTAGGTCTCCCCCTGCAGCACCCCGTAGCCCACGGCCAGCACCGCGTGGTCCAGCTCCCCCGGCTTGTTCGCTGCCAGGAACGGCACAGGGGAGGGCGCATTGGGACAGCAGCCCCCCAGGGGGGAGCTGGGGGGCTTCTCAACCCCCTCCAGCCCTGCCCAGTATCACGGGGAGGGGTTCCCGGGGGTCCCAGGTGCCCGACTCACCGCACTTGGGCTCGTAGTAGACGCCGTTGGAGTAGAAGGAGAAGGTCCTGTGCGAGGCGTCGATGCTGACGGCCACGGGGCCGTGCTTGTAGATGGCAGCTTTCACCGCCGTGATGTTGCCCGAGGTGACGTTGACGTAGCCCGTGATCTTGGCCAGCATCTCAGACTGGTTGTAGTGGCACAGCCCGTTCTGCGGCACCCCGGGGGGGGCAGCGTCAGCAGGGGTGCCCAAGTTGCCTCCCCCCGCCATGCCCCTGGCTGCCCCCTGCTCCCGTGCAGGGACTGGTGTGGGATTTGGGACGTGCCAGGGTCCCTGCCCCAGCCCCTGCTGCCCACCACGGAGGGGACGTTTCCCTGGCACGCAGCACGGGCGCCTGGCTCTGTCCCCAAGCCCCTTGCTCTGCCCTGTCCTCGGGCAGCCCTGCACCACCCCTGCACCCCGGGGAGCCGTGGCTGTGTCACCACCCCACGGCAGAGGAGCCTCGTCCCTGTTGTGCAAGAGGAGAAACTGAGGCAGCGGTGACGAAACCGCCTGGCTGAGCCCCAGGGCTTGGCTGCGCTCTGCAAGGAACCGCAGGGACTCTCGTGCCCTGGGGACAGGGTGGCTCGCTCGTCCCCAGAGCCCGTTAGCATCCCTGCAGGGTGCCCAGAGGGACACGTCCTTAGAGCTGGGGACCCCGGCAGGGGTACTGGGGCCACCCTCACCTGCCCCTTGTAGCTGCCGTAGGACTCGGTGCTGGCGATGCCGCCGTGCTTCTTGATCCACTCGTAGGCTCGCCACTCCTCGCCCCCGTCGCACGCGTAGTTCCCAAAGCCCCAGGAGCAGTCGATGAGGACTTGCTGGGACAGCGGGGTCAGCACGCCGGTCTGCGGGGAGGGGACACGCTGCAGGGATGGGGACCAGCACCCTGCGGCCACCCCGGCCGTCCCCGCTCGCTCTCACCTTGAGGAAGAGGGCACCCTCCATGGCACCCGTGGTGGCGAAGCTCCAGCAGGAGCCGCAGACAGCCTGGTCCTTCACGGGGGTCACCGCGCCTGGGGACAATTGGGGTGGGTGAAAGGGGAACTGGGGCAGGACTTGAGGTCTCACAGCGCTCCCCAGGTGCTTTGCAGACAGGGCTTGGTGCCCTCTTGTAGCAGGGGATGCACCAAATCTCCGGCTGCACACCCCGAGGTTAGAGCATCCCCAGGGAGCATCGCTCCCGGCACATGGGCGCATGGGGGAACCAGCACCAACGGAGCTGCCTCGGGCTGGATGAGCCCCTCTGGAGCTCCCTGGCACGGAAAAGGAGCACGAGCCAGCTCGGCCGGACTCTGCACCCACCCCAATGGGCAGCACCCACCCCCTCTACCATCACCCAACCCCGGGCAGAGCAGCACGGCGCACCGACCCCACCCGGCACGCACCGTACATCCTCCAGTCGAGGCTCTCGGGCAGGATGAGGCCGGCGTAGCGCTCGGCAGGGAAGGGCAGCCCGTGGTTGGGGCCCCGCTCTGGCGACGGCCCCGCAGTGCCGCCAGCTCCTGGGGCGTGCGGTCGGCCAGGTGGTTCAGTGCCAGCGTGTAGGAGAGCGCGGCGCGGTTCTTGGAGTGCACGAACCTGGGGACGGCGACGGCACCGCTGAGGACACCGCAGCACCCGGCTCCCCAGCACACAGGGGGGGTCAGTGGGTGCCCCCCAACCCGCCCCGCACCTCATGTTGTGCACGAAGACGTGCTGCCGGTGCTCCAGCTCCCGCGCCGAGCCGTAGCGCCGCCCAAAACGCCGCCGGTAGTGGTGGAAAACCTCGTGCGCCCGCGGCTGGTGCCGCCCCACCAGGTCCTCCATGGGGTTGGCCAGCACCCGGTGCTCCGCTGTGCTCCCCGGCAGGAGCCCGCATTTCTTCGTCTCTAGGGTGCAATTAGGGGACGCCGTCAGCTCGAGAGCCAGCCGAGGAGGGGGGGCAGGGTGGGGGCCCCGGCCCCGCTCACCGTTCACGGGGATGTCGAAGACGGAGGAGGGGAAGCTGTTGTCGAAGTCGGTGTAGGAGATTTCGTATTTGTCGTAGTGGGAGCCCAGCAGGCTGTTGTAGCCCCGCATCTCGTAGTGGACGGGGGCCACCCCGCAGCTGGAGTTGGTGACCCACAGGGTGTAGACGTTCTTCTTCTGCGCCCAGAGGGTGACGTTCTGCCACACGGCGCAGTACCGGCCCTGGTAGTACTCCTCCCGCAGGAACTGGGGGGCACAGGGACGGGTTTTTGGGGTGCGACCCGTGTCCCTACCTCCCCGCCCGGCCCCTCCGTGGGCACCCATGGCCAGCAGGGATACGGGTGCCGCAGCCAGCCCCGCCAGAGGCTGGGGACGGGGGGAGCCAGGCTGCCATGCAGCGACTTGCCCGAGCTGTCCCGAAACACCGGCGCTTGTGTGGGCTGCGACACGTCCCAACACGGCTCCTGGGATTGGGAAAGGAGCCGGGCGTCTGGCCCCGAGCCGGGTGGGGAAGTGACCCTCCTCCCTGCACCCATGGGTGCGGGGACCTGCCGCAGCCTGCCCCGGCACCCTGCACCACGCAGAGGCGAGCAGGGACAGGGGGGAGCACGGCCCAGAGCCCCCAGCCCCGGGGATGCTGCGGGCAGCGGGTGGGATCTGGGCTGTCCTTTGCCTCCCCTCACCTTGAAGCCCTCCAGGCTGGGGAAGACGCTCTGGATCCTGACCACGTCCTCCTTGGAGCCGGGCAGCTGGAAGCATTTCCTGGCGTTCACCTCCTTCTCGGTGGTCTCGGGAGTGATTTTGTACTGCATCCCGTAGGGCTTCACCCCCGCCAGCTGGTACGTTATCACCTGCCCTGCGCCACCCAGGGGGGGAAACTGAGGCACGGGGGCCCCGCTCTCAGCCTCCCTTCGCACAGGGACGGGCGCAGACGGGTCCGGCCGTATGGGTTGTGCCCCCCCTGCCTACCCCCATAGTACTGGATCCGGCTCTTGTTCCCCGTCAGGTTGTACCAGGCTTCGAAGGGCTCCTCGATCTCCGCGTAGGGCAGGTTGATGACCCCTGCGGAGCACCCAGCACCCGGCACGGCTCAGCCCCGGCACCCCAAACCCCCAAACACACTATGTTCATCACAGACACCCCCGGCACCCATGGGGGATGCTGTCCCCAGGGGTCCCCCCACCACCACCCTGTGCACCAGTTGCAGTGCCAGCTGGGCACTGGGATGACCCGGCACTGCGCATCCTCCGCTCCCCCCATGGTGCTGAGGGGTCCTGGCCGCCCTCAGCCCCAACTCAGGGCCGTTACCTCTGACGTGGTAGATGGATCCGAAGTGGGGCAGCGGCCGGGAGAGCCCCTGGTCCCGTCCTGCAAGGCACGAGCAGGGATGGGGCCGGGTTGTGGGGCCGCGGGGCAGCTCGCAGTGGGACGCTCCCGTTCCCTGCAGCCCCTCCCGGGCTCGCAGCTTGTGCAACCCCACGCCAACACACCCTGGGAGCCAGCCTTCCCCTCTGTCAGCACCTTTCTGATGGGTCCCAGCACCCCAAAATCAGGGGGTCCCCAAAGATCGGGGTACCCCCAGATGGTGCCCGGCATGCGGGGAGCGGCGATGGAGCCAGCGCCCCCGGGACGTGCGCAGTGCCCCAGGCACCCGGGGAGGGGAACTGGGGGGCACGGCTCCCCCTGTCCCCCCCAACGCTTCCGGCAACAACCTGCCCGCCTCCCCCCGCTGCTCTCTGCAAAAACAGGGAAATGGTCGGGGTTGGTGCGTGCGTTCAAGCTGCCTGGCTCGGTGCAGCCCTATTTTCATCCTCCCCCCTCGCCAAGCCCTCAAGGCACTGCACCACCCCGCAGCCCTCCTCTCCCGGGGGGCTCCAAGCACAGGGCTTGGCACACCCCACAAAAAAACCCTTCTCCACCCTGCCCTGCGTTCCCATTAACCCAGCAATGGGGAGACGAGACCCATGGGTGTTCCTGCAGTTTCGGGGTGACCCCAAATCCCCCGGTGCCTTGGCACCGTCCCGGGGCACGGACTCACCCCGCACGGCGGCGCAGAGCGCGGAGGCCACGAGCCAGCCCAGCACGCCCATCCTCGCCCCCGTCGCCCCCGCTCGCCGGGACCTGCTCCCGGTTTTAAGGCCGAGCCTGGGCCCTCCCCTGGGGAGGGAAGGAGCCGGCATCATGTGGTGCCCGATGGGGCGCATGGGATCGGCTGGATCCATTCGGGGGAGCCCCACAGGCTCGGTTCCGGGGTGCTCGGGGAGAGCTGGGGGCTCCTCACCACGCAGGAAAAGGGGGATGTGTGCCTCCTCCAGCAGCACAGGGAAGCCACCACCCACCCTATTCCCCCCAAGGGCTTTGGGGGCTCCCCAAACGCAGGGCTCCATCCTTCCCCGGCTGTAGGGCGCCTGCAGGGGTTGTGCCCCACCAGCCCCATCTCCACCCCACTCCAGCCCCCTTGGTAAGGCTGTTCCCATAAGGATCAGCCCTCCAGCCGGCTCCTGTCCCCATAGTTTAGCCAGGCTGACCCCATAACCTGCCTGGGGACGGGTGCTGAGCCTCCCCCAGCCCCCCAGGGAGCTGCCCTGGTCCCTCGGTGGTGGCAGCACCCATGGGACGGTGGCGGTGAGCGGCCACCCCCCTGCCGTGCCCCGTCCCCCCCCAGGGGCACTGGTGGCCTCGTGCCCGTCCCGATGGGGATCTGTGGCCTCGGCCAGCCCCAGCCCTGTCCCCATCCCCGCGTGAGAACAGGAAGCCCCGGGGCTGGACTTGCTGTCACACAGGAAAGAAGAGGTCGGCGCCTGCGGGGAGCACCTCGCACCTCCCCAAAACTCTGCCTGGCGGACCCCCCCGCTGCGAGGGACCCCTCCCCGGGACCCCCTGGAGCCGGGATGCCAAAAGCTCGAGGGGCTCTCGGTGTCCCAGCACCCAAACCGGGAGCCTAGGGGGGGTGTAGGGGGGCTCAGTGCCTCTCCTGGGGCTGGCTGGGCTTTGGGGTTTGGTGCCAAATCTTGGGAGCCTCCCACTTGCAGCCGCACCCGGGCGAGGCGTAAATAAGGAGTCCGGTGGCTGGGGCGCTGCCGACGGCCACAGCGAGCACACGAGTGGGCTGAGAGCTGCGTGCCCCTTTTGGGGACCCACGGGAGCCCCCAGGGGACACGGTCCCACTCCCCCGGGAGCTGGGACACTCGTCACCATCCCACAGCTTCGCCCTGTCCCAGCTCACCCCACCCCGGCGCAGACCCCGCTCCTTGGGCTCGTTTTATCCCTGCCCCATATTTACAGCGTGCCCATCCCCTGCTCAGTGCTGGGGGGGCTCAGGGATGCATTTGGGGTCAGGCAGCACCCCGACCCCCCCCACACAGCTTTGGGAACACGGCAACCCCACACATACCCCATAACCCACCAGCAGCCCCCGCGTGGAGCTGCGCCACGGATGGGGCTCCCCAAAGCCCCCATCCCGTGTGCGCCCCCGATGCCACCGTGTACCCAGGGGGGGGGCACGGGAAGGTGCTGGGCCCCGGTGCATGCAGGTGGGGCTGGCTGGTACAATGAAACATCACCGGGAGAGCGGGGAGGAAGGGGGGGCGAGGGGAGGGGAAGCTCGGCTCGGCGGCGAGAGCTGCTCCGAGGCGGGGAGCCGCACGCACACGCGCTCCCGCTTCTCCCCTCAGGCACCCACCCAGCTGTGCCCTGCTGAGCCCCCCCCCCCACAGAGCCAGTCCCCCAGGCCCCCAGCGCCGGGAGGGTCCGGGCGCTGCCGTGGGACCCCGCTGGAGAGAGGAGTTGGGGGGGGGCCGGGGGTCGCCGGGCTCCATGCGAGCCGGAGCAGGAGGGCTGACGGTAGGAGGGATGCACGGGGGTGATGGGAGGGCAGCTGGGGGGGGGTCGGGGTGGTTTGCAGGCAGGTGGGGGGGTCCCCTCTATCCCCTTGCTAAGTGTTTTGTGGGTTTTTTTTTTGGGGGGGGTCTCCGTGCGCTGACGCCCGCCTTGAGCATGGCATGGGTTCGGGATGGGGTGCTGAGCTGTGGGGTTGGGGGATCCCATGGGGGGGGGGGGTCCTGCCTCGCTGCCCCCCTCCCCAGCCTCTGCGGTGATGCTGGAGATGGGGGGGGGGGCAGGAGACCCCCGGCCTCTCTCATCCTTGGGGGGGGAGGCAGCCTCCAGCTCGCCCTCCCGGCACTAGGGCAGCCACGGGGAGGCTGCTGAGACAAAACACAGCTGGGGAGGGGGCTGAGGGGGGGGGGCCATATGGGGTGGGGGCCACCTGCGACCCCCCAAACCCTACAGGTGCCCCCATCCTGCCAGCACCGCCGTGCCGAGCTCCGACACCCCCAGCCGGGGCTGGGTGCCGGGGGGCACCTCCAGGCGCACGTAGGGCTGGGGTTGGGGAGGGGGGGGGGGACCCATTGCAACCGGGTGCCCCCCCCCCTGCAACCGGCGGCTCGGCCTCGTCCCCGGCCCCTTGGTGTGTCCCAGGCAGGAGCAGGAACTCGGCGCTTCCTGCCCCGCACAATTCCCCCCCCGCCCTGCTCCTCCCGGGACATTGTATTCGGGGCCGCGCTGCGCTCTTGGCCGCCGTCCTCCTCCCCTGCAGCCCCTGGGATCCGGGAATTGCTGCTTCTTCCAGCGGAAATCCTGCCTTCCCCCCCCCCCCCCGCCAGCCATGGGGCTGGGAGGCTGGGGGGCAGGCGGGGGGGGAGAGCAGAGCTCGGCCCATCATGGGGTGGGGGGTGAGGGGGACCCCCAGGCTGGGGGGCTTGGCGCAGGTGGGCTTCTCGGGGCCGATTGCTTGTAGGGCTGCCGTACCTCCTGGGGCAGCCATGGGTTGGTGGAGGGGGGCAAAAGCCCCTGTGGAGCCCCCCCAGCCTGCCCCATACATGGCAAAGGAGGGGAAGGGGCTTCTGTGGCCTCGTGGGCAGCTGTGGGGTTCCCTGCCCTGCCATGTCCCCATTAGGGTGGGACACCCGCTGGGACCACCACGGTGATGCTGTCATCTGTTGGGGGCGGTGGGGAGGCAGGAGGTGTCCCCTCGTGTCCCCCCCCCCATGGAGGTGTCTGCGGGGCTCCTGATGGGAAGGGAGGTGGCTGGGGGTCCCCACGTCCTAACGAGGACCCGAGAGGTGGCACCGTCCCCTGCCGGGCTGCAGCTGGGACCCCAGTGCCGCAGGGTGACCGAGGGGACCCCGCAGGCTGCGCCCTGCAGCGATCTCGGTTCCTCTTCCCCCAGGGAGGCTGCGGCAGGGGCAGTGAGAGCTGCCAGGGGTGTGGGGCCATATGGGAAGGACGGGAGTGCGCAGGGCAGGGGGTGGGATACGGCCCTGGGGGGCCACAAGGTGCCCGAGGGGCTGCAGCACGCGGTGTCACCGCTCAGCCCCGCCAGCGTCCCATTTTTGACCCCGTTTTGCCGTCCCCAAAGCCTGGGACCCTGCCAGCCACAAGGTTCCCCTCGGAGGCCGCGGCACCGTCCTCTTCCTCCTCCTCCTCCTCCTCCCCCACACCACTCTCCCTGGCCGCTTCCTCCTCCTGCTGTGAAGGTGACAGCAGGGCCCGCGGGGTGCCCCCTGCTCCCCGTCCCTGCGGGGTCCCCCCCTTTGGCCAGGCGCTGGTCCCGATGCCACCTCGGTTTGTCCCCAGGGCACCAGGTCTGGGGTATTCGGAGAGCCTCCAGAGCTCTCCGTGCGTCTGCACCCCCTCAAACCCGACCCCTCCGTCCCCTTAGGAAGGGGCTGGGGCGATCCCATGGGGTGACAGGCAGGGTGACATCATGGGGACACCAGACCCCGGCTCAGGGCTGGGGCAGCGCTCCGGGTCCCTCCCTTCCTGAGCTCATTCCTTGGCCACCACCCGCTTTGGAAACCTCCCCGTGCCACCAGCACCGGGAAACCGGGCTCTGGGGTCGGGGGGGGACAGGGGGAGCAGATGGCCAGGAGGACGGTGACAATTCCCAGACCTGTGGCAGCAGGGGGACACGATTTGGCCGGGTGTCCGTGCGGCACGGAGGGGGCACGGCGGGGCGCGAGCTGGCACCGTGGTGGCACCGGCGCAGGTGGAGCCGGCCTGGGGGGGGGGGCTCGCTGCCCATCTGCTCCCGGGGCCGGCCGCCAGCACGCGGCCCCTCCCCAAAAATGACCCCAGGGAGCCGTTTTTGGGGGCCAGCCTTGGAGGGCGGGTGGGATGCTGTGTGGTGTTTGGGGCTAAACCTCAAGGTGCGGGGGTATTTGGGGTTTGTGCCTGGCTGGGAGCTGCCCCGTGCCCTCCCTGACCCCCCGGTTGCTGAGTTCAGCGGAGAAATTCGGCAAAATGGGAAGTGTCGGAGCACGGTGCCGGCAAAGGGGCCGGGGTTTCTCATGAAGAGGGTTTGCGAGAGCTGGGAACGGCTGTCAGCTGAAACACCAACTTCTTCTCAGAAAAAGAAAAAAAAGCCCCAAAAAAACGGCCAGGCCCTCTCGGGTTTGGCAATTCCGTCCCGGCTGCAACAGCCCCGGCCTTGCCAAACGGCCGGTGTTGAAAGCCCAGGTGGCCACGGAGAGCCCGGGGCCGCTCGAGCTTGTTTGGTGCTTCCAAACCTGCTGCCGAGAGAAGGAAAGGAGAGACAGGGACTGGGATGGGGGAAAACTACGTGAAATATTTCCTCGGCCCCAAAACCACCACATTTGCCTCCCAAATCTCGGGGAGAGGACCTGAGCCGTGCCCAGGGGCCGGGACGTGGCCGCGGCACCGAGCACAGCCCCGCGCCGTCACCCCCATGGGGGTGGGACCCCCGCAGGGCTGGGACCCCCCAAATCTCCGTCCCTTTTGGGGCAGCTCCCCCAGGGGGCCAGGGCGCAGGGCCCAGCTCCGTCCCTTTCCTCCTGGGTCCGATTTCCTCCTCCTCCTCCTCACCTTCTCACAGCGCTGGCCGGAAAAGCGCGGCCGCGACCGCAGCGAGGCGAGCGGGGCCCTTCCTGCCCCGAACCACCAGTTCCCCCAGCAGCTCGGGGTTACGGGGGGACGGGGACGTTTTTGGGGGCGCTCCTCACCGCCCTGCCTCGCTCCCTCCGGCCCCGGTGGGGTGGCTTTGGGGAGGGGGGGGGACGGGGACGCGGTGCTGCCTGGAAGGAGGCGCTGGGCTGGCGGGGGGGACCTGGCGGGATGTGGTTTGAGCCCGGTGCAGAAGTTTTGCAGCTCGTGCAGGGCTGCAGCTCCTGCAGGGCTTTTCGAGCTCCTGCACAGCCCTTCGAGCCCGTGCAGCAAGATTCAAGACCTGGGGGGGGTATTATATCCTGTGCAGGGGCGTTTCGGCTCGGGGGGGGGGGGGTATTTAAACCCGTGCGGGGGTATTGCAAGCATGCAGGCTTGCTGCACCCCATGCGGCGATGTTTGGAGCCTCGCGGGGGTCCGGCAGCCCGTGCGGGGTTTTTGGAAGCCTGGCGGGGATGTTTTAGCCCACGCAGGGGCTCTGCCCCCCCCCCACTCCTGACCCCCCTCCCCGCCGTCCCCAGGTGCCTCTCGTCCTCCCCGCGGTGCCATGGAGCAGCTGAAGTGACCCTTGGAGACGTCACCGTGAGTGGGGGCGCCGTGGAGGGGAGCACCCCTGGGTGCTGGGGGGGGGGTTTGGGGGGGTTGGGGGGGATCCGTCAGTCCCACGTCCGTCTGTCCGTCCGCCCCGCAGGCCGTGCCAGGATGGGCTGCGTGCACTGCAAGGAGAAGGTGGCCGGCAAGGGGCAGGCGGGGAGCGGTGGGGGGCCTTCCTTGGCCCCCCCCCTGCAGTACGACCCCGACCCCGCGCAGCTCGGCGGCGCCTTCACCCACATCCCCGACTTCAACAACTTCCACGGCCCCGCCGTGCCCACCCCCGCGCCCTTTTACCCCTCCAACACGCTGCAGGCGCACGGCAGCAGCATCGCAGGTCAGTGGCGAGCTGGGGAGGGGGGGGGCATGGGGAGGTCCTGGCTGCACCCATGGGTGCTGGCCGGGACGGGGCTCGCCCACGGTGCCCTCCGTGTGCCGCAGGGGGGGGCGTGACGCTTTTCATCGCCCTGTACGACTACGAGGCCAGGACGGAGGATGACCTGAGCTTTCAGAAAGGGGAGAAGTTCCACATCATCAACAACACGTGAGCCCCCCCCTGTACCCCCCCTATCCCCCTATCCCACTTGGGAAGGTGCTCCCAGTACTCCCAGTATGAGCCAGGCTGGGCACCAGTAAGACAACCCACGTGTGTCACGAGTTGGGTGGCCCCAGCAGAGCCCTGGGGTGGGTGCCCTCGGGGGTGGGGGACAGGGGGGGCTGGGGGTGCTGTGCGCAGGGGGGGGGGGGGTGTCCGTCTGTCCGCCCCTCCTCACCGTCCGTCCGTCTCTCCCCAGCGAGGGTGACTGGTGGGAGGCCAGGTCGCTGAGCTCGGGCGACACGGGCTACATCCCCAGCAACTACGTGGCCCCCGTGGACTCCATCCAGGCAGAGGAGTGAGTATGGGGTGGGGGGGACACGGGGGGGGGACATCCAGGCGTGCTGGCACCCCGTAACCGTGCCGTGACGCTCGCGCAATGCTCACACCTTGCTTGGCCCCGCTGCAAAGTGAAGTCCATGGTGCCAACAAGGGGACTCGGCGCACCCATGGGTGCCCCCCCTTGGTGCTGATGCCCCCCCCTGTCCCCCCCACCCTGCAGGTGGTACTTTGGGAAGATCGGGCGCAAGGATGCAGAGCGGCAGCTCCTGTGCCATGGGAACTGCAGGGGCACCTTCCTCATCCGGGAGAGCGAGACGACGAAAGGTGGGGGGGCTGTGGGGACGGTGGGGGGGGCTGTGGGGTCAGGGGGGACATGGGGACGGGGAAATGGGGATGGTGTAGGGGGACATGGGGATGGTGTAGGGGGCTGTGGGGTCAGGGGGACATGGGGATGGTGTAGGGGGCTGTGGGGTCAGGGGGCCGTGCCCTGTGCCCCTCCCCGTGCCACCCCTCACCCCCACTCCCACCTAGGTGCCTACTCCCTCTCCATCCGGGACTGGGACGAGGCCAAGGGCGACCACGTGAAGCACTATAAGATCCGAAAGCTGGACAGCGGGGGGTACTACATCACCACGCGGGCCCAGTTCGACACCGTGCAGCAGCTGGTCCAGCACTACATAGGTAGGGTGGGAGGGGGTGAGGGCCGTGGGGGGGCGGTGGGGGGGCGGTGGGGAAAGCCCAGGGGACCGGTTGGCAACACCCAGCCTGCTGGGCCAACTGGGTTTAACTGGAGGAGGAGGGGGCTGTGCTGGTGGCAGCAGGAGGGGGACCCCCGGGGGTCCCCAATCTTCCATGTCCTCGGTGCAGGGAGCACCCGGCCTCCGGAGAAGGTAAATAGCCCCCGGGGTCTGGGGGGGGCATCACCCCGAAATGGGGCTGGGGGGCTGGGGGCTGTCCCCGGTGGGAGGGAGCGCACCCCACGTGTGTGTTTTGGGGAGGGGGGCACTGCGGGGGGACCAGGGTGGGGGGCGAGGGTTGGGGGCACCCCGGGGTGACGCCTGCCTCTCCCCGGTGCCGCAGAGCGGGCGGCCGGGCTGTGCTGCCGCCTGGCCGTGCCGTGCCCCAAGGGGACCCCCAAACTGGCCGACCTGTCGGTCAAAACCAAAGACGTGTGGGAGATCCCCCGCGAGTCCCTGCAGCTGCTCAAGAAGCTGGGCAACGGGCAGTTCGGGGAAGTGTGGATGGGTAGGGCCCGGCGGGCGAGCCGGGGCGAGCGACGAAGGGAGGGGAAAGCGGTGGGGGCACCCCCAAGCCTGGCACCCCCCCCAGGAGATGGGCACAGACTCCCCATGCCCTGGGGCAATGTCCCATCCCCTGCTTTTTCAGGGCACCCCGAGTGCTCCCCGCAAATATATATCCCATATAACCCCATATCCCGGATGGGGCCATGAGCAAAGAGACAAAACCAGGCCTGGGGGGGGGTCCCTCGTCGTCTTCCTCTTCCTCCCGCGCCCCGTGCTCCCCCCGCTCGGCGTGCATGCTGCCTTCATCCCATCGCACCCCCCCGCTGCCTCCCCCCTTCCCTGCGCCCCTGCAGAGTACAACGACGGGTTGTGCCATCTGCTCACCCTCCCGTGCCCCGCTATGAAGCCCCAGACCTTGGGATTAGCTAAGGACGCCTGGGAGATAGCGCGGGAATCCATCAGCCTGGACGAGAAACTCGGCATGGGATGTTTCGGAGACGTGTGGATGGGTAAGGCTGGCCCAGCCGGCCGGGGTGGGGGGGCTCAGGGGCACGAGCAGCCCCCCCAGGCAGCATCGTGGGGACCGGGTGGTGCTCGGCACCGCTCCGCATGGATGGATGGGGAACGGGGTTAGGCGAGCCCGCGGGTGCCTCGAACCCGTGCCACGAGGTGAGGTCCTTGAGGTGGGTTGGGCACGGAGGTAGCACGGCCCTTGATTGCCCCGGCCCGAATTCCTTGCTCCTCTGCTCGTCCCTCCATCCACGCAGCTCTCCAAACATGCATCCATGCAACCATCCGCCCTGCACCTACCCGTGCACCTCTCCATCCATGCATGGATCCATGCGCCCCCCATCCATGCGCCCCCATCCATGCGCCCCCCATCCACGCACCCCTCCATCCACGCACCCTCCATCCTGGCCCTGCGGGGGCCAGGTGTCCCCTACCCGGGGGGGGCTCCTGGTGACGCGGTGTCCCCGGGCCAGGCACGTGGAACGGCACCACCAAGGTGGCGGTGAAGACGCTGAAGCCGGGCACCATGTCCCCCGAGGCCTTCCTGGAGGAGGCTCAGATCATGAAGCGGCTGCGGCACGACAAGCTGGTGCAGCTCTACGCCGTGGTGTCGGAGGAGCCCATCTACATCGTCACCGAGTTCATGAGCCAAGGTGAGGGGCTGGCGGCACCCATGGGTGCCCTGCCTGGTCCCTCCGAGCTGCCCCCACCCTGCCTTGGCACGGCCAGGGTGCGCGGGGACCTGGTCCGAGGCTTCCCTGGGTGCGCACGGTTGGGTTCCTATGGGGAGGGCACCCTTGGGTGGGCACGGCTGGGTCCCTAAAGGGGAGAGCACCCTTGGGTGGGCACGGCTGGGTCCCTAAAGGGGAGAGCACCCTTGGGTGGGCACGGCTGGCTCTGTGACTGGCACCCTCTGCCCCCAGGCAGCCTGCTGGACTTCCTAAAGGACGGCGACGGCCGCTACCTGAAGCTGCCCCAGCTGGTGGACATGGCTGCACAGGTACCGGGGAGGCTGGCACGGGGTGGGCGCCCCCGTGGGGGGACACCCAAGGGTGCCAACGCTTCTCCCCCCCGCCCCAGATCGCCGCGGGCATGGCCTACATCGAGCGGATGAACTACATCCACCGGGACCTGCGCGCTGCCAACATCCTGGTGGGCGACAACCTGGTGTGCAAGATCGCTGACTTCGGCCTCGCGCGCCTCATCGAGGATGATGAGTACACGGCACGCCAGGGTGAGCCACCCCCCCCGGTCCCAAAGTTTTGGGGACCGCTGCCCTGTCCCTGCTGGGTCCCAGCACGGGCCTGGAGCTGTCACCCCCGGTGCTGGGTGCCCTGGGGGGTGGGTGCCCCAAGTGATGGGCACCCCAGGTGCTGGGCACCCCCATTAATAGGTACCCCAAGTGATGAGTACCCAGGATGATGGGCACCCCAAGTGATGGGTTCCCTGGGTGCTGGGTACCCCAGGTGCTGAGTACCCCAATTAATAGGTACCCCAGGTGCTGGGTACCCCAAGTGATGGGTTCCTTTGGTGCTGGGTACCCCAGGTGCTGGGTACCCCCATTAATGGGTACCCCCATTAATAGGTGCCCCAAGTGAGGGGTTCCCTGGGCGCTGGGCACCCCAAGTTCTGGGCACCCCCAATAATAAGCACCCAGGGTGTTAGATACCCCAATTAATAGGTACCCCAGGTGCTGGGTACCCCAGATGATGGGTTCCCTGGGTGCTGGGCACCCCAAGTACTGGACACCCCAATTAATAGGTACCCCAAGTGATGGGTTCCCTGGGTGCTGGGCACCCCAAGTGTGGGTTACCCTGGGTGTGGGTGCCCCGGGGGTGCCCCAGCCGTGGCTCACCCCTTGCCCCCTTTCCCCCCCCAGGTGCCAAATTCCCCATCAAGTGGACGGCCCCGGAGGCGGCGCTTTTTGGCAAGTTCACCATCAAGTCGGACGTTTGGTCCTTCGGCATCCTCCTGACCGAGCTGGTGACCAAAGGCCGGGTGCCCTACCCAGGTACAACCCCCCCCCCGGGCAGGGTGGGCACCCTTGGGTGGGCGCAGGACCCTCGGTGTCCCCAACAGGGGGGTGCAGGGTGCTGACGGGGCCGGATCCTTACCTCCTTAGGGATGAACAACCGGGAGGTGCTGGAGCAGGTGGAGCGGGGGTACCGCATGCAGTGCCCCGGGAACTGCCCCCCCTCCCTGCACGAGGTGATGGTGCAGTGCTGGAAGCGGGAGCCCGAGGAGCGCCCCACCTTCGAGTACCTCCAGTCCTTCCTCGAGGACTACTTCACGGCCACCGAGCCCCAGTACCAGCCGGGGGACAACCAGTGACCCCATACTGGGAGGGAGGGGGGGTGCTGGGGGGGGGGGGGGCATTAATCGCCCCCCTTTTTGCAGGGGGGTTTCTCGCTCCCGTTGCCTGCGCCCCCCTGTAAATGGCCATGGGGTGGTGCGGGGGGTGCCCCCCTTTTTTTTGGGGGGGGGCTTTGCACAAGGATTTTGGACTCAGGGGGGCAGCGCCTTGCCCAGATGTGCCCCCCCCTCCCCTGTGCCCACCCCCCAGCCCCATCTCTCGTTGCCTTCACAGCCAGCTTTGAACCTGAGAAGTGCTTTGGTGGGGGGAGGACGGTGGGTGGGTGCCCCCCCCGTGACCCCCCGTGCCCCCCACACCCCTACCCCACAGCAGCAGAGGCCTTGGGGGAGGGGGGTCTGAGGGTGCCCCCTCCCCACGCCAGCCCCATCCCCTCGCCCCCAGCTCTGCACAGCCCGGGGGGGGGGGACAGATGGGGGGCTCAGCCCCCCAGATCCTAGCACTGAGCTTCAGCCCCCCCTTATATCGCCTTTAATTTATACAGTTTCCCCCCCCCACACGCCCCAGGAGACACACAGGGACCCCTATACGCGGGGGGGGGGGGGGGACAGGACTCCTTGCTCCCCCCCCCCTTTATCTCCTGTCCTTAAATTAGAGCCAAATCCTCAAAGCCATAAACCCCTGCTTGCAGTGGGGGGGGGGGCACAGGGGGTCCTGGGTGCCGGGGGGGGGGTCTGTCCCAGGGGCTGTTCCCACAGCCCTGTTGCCTTATGGGGGGGGGGCACGGGGTGGATTCACCCCCTGCAGCAAGCATTAATTGGGGGGGGGGGGGCATCGTGGAGGCACGGGGCGCAATGTGAATGTGATGGCACTTGGGGGGGGGGGGCACCCCACCTGGGCACCCCCTACCCCATGTTCCAGGCTCAGTCCCAGCCCTGTCCCCCATAACCAGGACCCCCCCATGGCCAGGACCCCCCCACAGCCATGCGGCAGGGCAGGGGGGGGGGGGGCACCCAGCCGTGCCCCCAGGCTGTGCCACCGGGGGGGGGGGTGGTGGGGGGGAAGGGACGGGTTTGTTGTTAATTATTTTTCTTTTTTAATTCCAGTCTGTAAATAGAGAGAAATAAAAATCTTTCTAACAAGCCTGGGTCCTTCTGGCCCCACATCGGGGGGGCTGCATGCCCCCCCGCCCCCCCGAGCCATTTGAGGCTCCCTTTGCAAATAAAACCCCCAAACCAGCAGGGGAGGGGGCAGCATTGGGGTTTTAAAGCTTTGCAGGGGGGGGACCGTCCCCTCCTGCTGTCCCCCCCCCCCTCGGGGCTTTGTGCTAAGGAGGCCGGCAGCCCCGGCTTCATTTGGGGGGGGCTTGGGCAGTGTTGGGGGGGGCAGAGAAAAGGAAAGGGGGGGGGGATCCCATGCATGAGGATGGGGAGGAAGGGGTTAATCGCCCCTGCTGTGGCCATTAATGAATTCCCCAGCACTTGGGGGGGGGGGGGGGGGGGGGCAGCAGGTGGGGAAAGGGGGCAGGGGCTTGGGGACACCGCTGGGGACACCGCTGGGGACACCGCTGGGGACACCGCGCACCCCTCATCCAGCTCCGTCCCCTCACCCTGGGGCCAGGGATTGCCCCGGGCAGGCAGCGGGGCAGGGCTGGGTGCGGCCACCCCGTGCCCCATCCTGTGCCCCATCCCATGCCCCATCCCATATCCCATCCTATGCCCCATCCTGTGCCATGTCCCATCCTGTGCCCCATCCCATTCCATGCCCCGTCCTATATCCCATCCCATGCCCCATCCCATATCCCATCCCATCCCATACCCCATCCCATGTCATGTCCCATCCTGTGCCCTGTGCCATGCCCCATCATCCCATACCCTATTCCCCCATCCCATTCCGTGCCCAATCCCATGCCCCATCCCATCCCATGCCCCATCCTGTGCCTGATCCAATCCATCCCATATCCCATATCCCATATCCCATATCCCATATCCCATATCCCATATCCCATACCCCATCCCATGCCCCATCCCATCCCATGCCCCATCCTGTGCCCTGTGCCATGCCCCATCATCCCATGCCCCATCCCATCCCATTCCATCCCATACCCCATCCCATACCCCATCCCGTGCCCTATCCCATCCCATAACCCATGCCATCTTGTGCCCCATCCCCTGCCCCATCCCATGGGGTCCCTCTGGTGCCCAGCAGGGAGCAGAGTGGCGCTGGCCAGCCCCATGTCACCAAACTGCAGCCGCTGCCACCCAGGGGCGCAGGGGATCTCGGGGCCGCCTGCGCCCCCCCCCCCCAGCTGCTGCACACGTGTTCCGCGTGTGGCACACACGTGTTCACACGCATCCCAAAAACCACGTGCAAGGAGCACCCTTACCCAAACAGGTGTCCCTTGTCCCCATGGGGACACCCGTGTTGTCCCCCTCTTACCCCCACGAAGCCCTCCAGCTGGGGGGGAGCACCCTGGCTCACCCCCTGCTCGCCAAGCCCTGCACAGCCCCAAAACCCCAGGGGAATGTCCCCAACCCTGGCACATTTTGGGCACCCGGGGGGGGGGGAGAAGGGGGCTGGAAGCGGCAGTGCTGGGAGCAGAGGGGACCGCCACCGTGATGGGGACCGATGGCTGTGCCCACAAACGTCACCTTGGTGCCACCAAGGGCTGGGGGGGCACGGTGCTGACCCCCAGCCCCATGGCAGGGTGACCCCGGGGGCAGCAGCCCCCGCTCTGCCGGGCTGCCAGGGCGGCAATTTCCTCCTCCAGCACGAAATTCACTTAAAAAGAAATAAAAATGCAAATCCGGGGCCTGGCGCGGAGGGGCAGGCTGGCGGCGGGCGCGGGCATCCTGATGGGCCGGATCCTGACACCCCCCCGGGTGCGAGGTCACCCCCGTGTCCCCAACCCAGGAACCCCCCGTCCCCAAATTGGCAGCGGGATTTGGGCAGCAAAAAGCTCGGGGACGAGGCCAAGCTGGGGCTCTGCCACCTCCCTGCTGCAGCCTCCTGCAGCGCCCCTGGGCCTGTCCCCTTCATCTGTCCCCTGCTGTCACGAGGCTGTAGGGGACAGGCAGTGGGGCTCGAGGCCGTGGGGGGGGCCCTGTTGTGTCCGTCTGTCCTTCCAACCCCCCCCCAGGGTGTCTCGAGGTGGGGGCGAAGGGGTTAAAGGGCGCAGCTTCGGGGGGCATTGATTTTATGTTAATGCCGGGCTCCATCGACCTGGGGAGCGGGGATGGAGGGACAGCCACCGCGGGGCACGGCCACCAGCCCCGGGGGGGCCGGGGAGGGCAGAGAGCAGCATCCAGACCTGGGGGGGGGAGCTGTGAGCTGGCCCCTTCCCCTCCCCGCTGCCCGGGTCCCTGCAGCATCCCAGGTAGTGCCGCAGAGCCGAGGCTGCAGCAGCTTCTGGGGAGGAAAGAAAAACAGCTCAGCACCACCTCCCCTCCATGCGCACGCACCCCGTGCCATCAGATCCCCCTCCCCACGCACCACAGGACCCCCCCTACACCCCCAGGACCCCCCCTACACCTCCGGGACCCCCCATCCCCACGGTGCCCAGGCCCATCTCTCTTGCTGCCGCAGCTCCTGGCCCCGTTTGGCCGCGCTCCCCGCTCGGGGGGTGCCGGAGCGCGGTGCCCGCGCGGTGCCAAGCGCGGTGGGCGCAGGTGTGAGACCGCTGCAGATGGCCGGCGCCGCAGACCCTGGCACGAGGGAGCTGCGGCGCTGCCACCACCACCACCACCACCACCCCCGGGGGGGCCCTCGCTGCCACCAAACGCCGCGGCGAGGTCCCGTCCCCAAACGGCACAGCCCCAGGGACCCCGCGTCCGTCCCCGTCCCCTCCGACCCGAGCACCCCGGGAGCTGGCAGCGCCCGCCTCGCTCCCGGTCCTTGCATCGTCCCCGCGGTGGCGATGGCCAGACAACAGTGGAAGGTGGCCAAGAATGCAATTTTAGGCTTGGCCAGCCTCGTGACTGCTGGCCCAGGCCCGCGGGGACCGTGCCCAGAGGGGAAACTGAGGCACGGGGGGGGGGATTGCTTCGTGGTCACGCAGCGGCTCCGCACCGCGAGCTGGGAGGGGGCACATTTTTCCATGGAAAAAAAGCAGCCCAGGGTCGGGAACGGCCACGCAGCGGCCACGGCAACATCTGTGACTGCAGCTGGGGAGCGAGGCAGGCTGTGCACGGCCCGATGGCACGGCCCCCCTGCCCCCAGCTCTCCCCATCATTTTGGCCCCACAGAGCCAGGACCCGGTGCTGGCAGGGGTTTGGGGCCGTGGGGTTTGAGGAGCGAGGCGAAGCGCGGCAGGCACGGAGGTGTCGCAGCAGCAGCGCTGCTCTGCCGGGACGTGGTGCTGCTGGGTGGCACGGGGATGTTTGCGTTTTGGCAAAATCCTAAATGCAGGAGGGGTTGGCTGCCTGGGGAACGCCCTGCTCCAGGGCTTCAGAGTGTGTGGGGGGGCGAAGTCTCCTCTGCTGCAGTTATTGGGGTAAAATCAGGATGGCCCCTACATAGGCAGAGGGGCAGGAAGCCCCCAGCCCCAATTGGGGTTGGGGGATGCTGCTCTCCACCCCAAAGGCAGCCCCCATATCCAGCACCCCCCCTTGCCATCCCTTCCTCTCCCCCACCACCACGCACCCCGCTCCCCCCGCTGCACCCCGCTGTCTCCAAAGCCCCCCCAGCCCCCAGATCCCACCCGGGGGCGGCTTTGGGGGGGGGGGGGGGGGTCCCAGCTGCTGTCCCCAGTGAGCGAGGTCACCACAAGCTCTCGGGGGACAAATGCAGTGGGGGGACAAGGCAGTGGGGTCACCCGGTGACCCTATAACCTCAAGGAGGGTGGCGAGCAGAGCCTTCACCCCCCCTCCCTGACTTTGGGCAGTGGTGGGTGGGCACAGGGGGGTGTGGGGGGGATCTCAATCCGGTGCGGCCACCCCCGTGGCACGGCGACACGGGGCTGGGACCCGGGGACAGCGGTGGCCCCGGCTCGGCAAAGCAGCCGCTAGATGGTAGCGGAGGTCCACGCCAACGCTGCTGACACAGCACTTGGCTGCCAGAGGGACCGGGGGGCCCGGGTGACCCGGGGGGGCCCTGGGGACCCGTTTTGGCCACCCCCTTCCCCGCCCCGTGGCACTGAAGGGCTGGCCACGCGTGGAACCGGGACACGGGTGGCGTGGGCGCTGCGCCCCCGCCCTGACGCCCCCTGGCACCGCCGCCCACCGTCAGCTTTGGGGGCTCGGGGTGAGGGGGACCCCTCCCCAAAATCTGTCCCCACGAGCGTCCTGCCCCAAAGCAGCCCTGAGGCCAGCTGGGGACCTCCAGGGACCACCAGCGGGACTCAAGGGGGGGACAAACCCACTCCTGGGGACAAGCAGGGTCACCCAGCTCGATGGGGGGGTGCTGGGCACCCATGGGAGCCCGGCAGAGCCCCGGTGGGTGCCCCTCTGCAGGGACCCCGCTGCGAAGAGCCTCGCTTTGCTCCTCCTCGCCCGCTCCCAGCCCTGGCGAGGGCTCGGTGCCAGGCGGGTATATATATTTTATGATAACTATAGAGATGCACTTCAAACCTGACAAAGGACTTTGACAGTTTTAAGCATCTCTTTGATTAATACATGACCTTTTAATGCTTCGGATTAAATTAATAAATCTTTTACATTCCAACCCATTCTGCTTGCAGCGTAATGTTTTCTGCACGACCTCCTTCTCTCCCCGCGCACGCGAGGCATCCCCCCTGTCCTGCTGTCCCACGGCACCCGGGGCAGGTAACATCAAGGCACGGCCCCTGCAATATTCATACGGTGCAGAGCCCCGCGAGGCGAGCGGGGAGGGATCCTCCTCAGGTTTGAACCATCCCTAAAAATAGCAAGAAAATTCAAAGCTGACATTCAGGGCGAGGGGACGAGGAAGGCTGCAAAGTTGCTCACTCAGCCACCAGCAATTGCAGCGATCCTGTCTGCGTGTGCAGATTCCTCTGCTGACCGGGCTGGAGCGCCGGGCCTCCTCTCCGCAGGGTTTGCAGGAGCTGGGAGCGATGCAGATGGGTCCCCGTCCTCACCCCGTTCCCAAATCCGAGCCTGCTGGGGTGAGCAGAGCCCAGGGATGCAGCTGCTGGCATTTCGGATACGAAGCGCGGCGATGCGTCCATGCTGGAAGGCAGCTCTCCATCCGACCCCAGTTCAACCAGTTTGTCCCAGTCTGGCGGCGGAGCTGGGGAGCCCGGCACGTCTCCTGAGCGCCGATTCCCTCCCTGCCGCCTGTTGATCCCCGACCACAGATGAAAACCCAACGTGCAGCACGGCGGTGAGGCAGAGGGCTGCTGTGAAGCCAGGTGCTGCGTGTCTCCCTGCACCCATGTGTTATTTCATCGATGACTCACGTGTTATTAGCAGCCGAGCAATATTCCCAATTCCCTGGAGTTAACCCTTCACTCGTCACTCACAAAACCACGGTGTCACAACAAACATCAGCGGCATTATCCGCGTTAATTATATTGTATCTGGGAGCATTAACATCGGCGCAGCCTTGGAGGGAAGGCGCTGAGGATGCTCGAGGAGCCACGAGGAGGGAGGTCACGGGGCACGATGGCAGCTGGGGGACATCTCCCCGCCCTGCCACCACCGTCCTGGGTGGTTTTGGTCACCACCTGCGCCCCCCCGGGGTCCCCTCTGTGCCAAGGGGGACATAGCCAAGGGGGGACCCCTGCACAGCACCGTGCCCTGGGGGTGGGGGAGCGGGGTGTTAGCAAACAGAGGGGAAGTTTCCAGCGCTGCCAGGCCCTAGCCACGGCTAACTTAAAAAATAATAATAATTAAGTGGAAAAAAAAAAAAAAAAAAAAAAAAGGCTAATTAGGTGGCTTCAAGGGGGTGTGCCACGGGGGAAATTCGGACCGAGGATTGGGGCGGGGAGGGGGGGGGGTCTGCGGGCTGCCTGCGTGCCCCCCAAACCCCGCATCCTACCGGGGAGCGCAGTGCGGGTGCAACCCGGGAGAGGGCAGCAATGCCCCGTGCATCCCACTTGTGTGGGGGGGTGGGCATCCCGGGGGGTTGGGGAGGGGGGGGGGGGGGCAAAACACCCTCCGGGTGGATGCCTCCCCCCCCAAAAAAAAAAAAAAAAACAAATTGAATCCCCCCTCCCCAAGCAGAGCGCGGAGATGCGCGCCCCTTGCGCGCCCCTCCCCGCTTCGCGCCGACGGGGAGGAGAAAAGCGGGGAGAGGAGAAGGGGCGGGGGGGGGGGAAAAAAGGAAGGAGGGAAGAGAAACGAGAAGGCGGGGGGGGGAGAGAAGGAAGGACTACAAGGCCCGGCATGCCCCGGCGGTGCTGCACGGCTCCCCGGGGTGCCGGATGCTGGCCGTGCCGCTGACAGCGGAGCGAAGCGGAGCCGCGGTCCCCGCCGCGCACGGAGAGGGCAGGGCGCGCCGCGCCGCCGGCTCCGCTCCCCCCTTTCCCAGCCCCCACAAAGCCGGGAGCGGCAGAAGGCAAGAGCGAGGGAGGAGGAGGAGGAGGAGGAGGAGGTGGAGGAGGAGGAGGAGGAGGAGGAGGAGGAGGAGGAGGAAGGGGGGAGGCAGCAGCAAGCCAGGGCTCTGCTGCGCTGTGTCTTTCTTTGCTTTCCGCAGGCGGCTGAGCGGCGGAGGCGCAGAGGGGAGGTCGGTTCCCCTCCGCCTCCCGCTCCGCTGCCTTTTGTGTGTGTGCGAGGCGAAGGGGGGGGGGGGGGGGGGGGGAGAGAGAAAAAATTTGAAAAAAAAAAAAGAGAGAGAGAGAGGAGAGAGAGGAGGGAAAAAAAAAAAGCGGAGGAAAAAAAAAAAAAAAGAGGAGGAAAAAAATAAGAGGAGGATAAAAAAAAAATAGCCGAGCGGCAGAGGGGGAGAGAGGAAAAAAACAGGGCGAAAAAAAAAAAAAATCAAATAGGGGTGGGGGGGCTGGGGGGGAAGAGGGGAAAGGAGGAAAGGCGAGAGGAAAAGAGCAGGCAGGGGACGGAGGAGGGGGCGGGCTGGCAGGAGCGGAGTTGCCTGGGGAGAATGTGAGCAGGAGGCGCTGGAAATGCTCTCGTTGAAGGTGGCGAGCGGTGCCGAGGGCTCCGGGACTCCCGCGGGCGGCCAGGACGCAGCCCCGGCGGACGGCAGGAGCCTCCCCAAGCGGGCGGGCTCCGGGGGGCTCGGAGCGCAGCAGCCGGCGGGTGAGTACCGGGGTGTCCCCGTCCCCCTTCCTCCTCTTCCCCACCCCCGTTGCCTTTGTGTGGGGCTGGGACCCCGGGGGGGGGGTCGTGGCTGGAGGTGGGGGGGTCGTGGGTGGGGAGGCGGAGGGGTAAAGGGGGGAGAAAGGGAGGGAGAAAGGGATCGGGGGTGTTGTTGGGGGGCACCCAGCGTGTTGGTAGAGAGAGAGGGTGGAGGGGGAGGGAGGCGCGGCCCCCCCCCCCTCCCCGCCGTGTGTGTGTGTGTGTGTGTGTGTGTGTGTGTGTGTGCCCCCCCCCCGCTGTCCCCTCCGCCGAAGTTGCGCGCGGCGAGTTGGTGCCAAATTGCAGGAGTTTAATGGCACTTGGGGAGGGGAGAGGGGGGGCGAGGGGAGGAGGGAGGGGGAGAGGGGGGAGACGGGGCTAGGGGGGGGCGTCCTGGCGATCGCCCCCTCCTCCCCTCCCTCCCCCCCCCAAGAAAAAAAATCCCCCGCCGTGCCCCATTTGCACGAGTTCAGCCGCCTCCCCCGGCCGGCCCCCCCCCCCGGCTCCCCCCGGGCTGCGAGCGCTGAGTGACAGCTGTCAGAGCCGGCTCCGTCCGCTAGAAGGCGGAACGGAACATGTCAACAAAATTTGGGGTTATCCTCGCAGCCCTGGGGGGCGTCAGGAGCTCCCCCCCCCTTTACCAACCCCCTGACCCCCAGGGCAGAGCCTGCCCCCCCCCTGCAACCCAGGCTGGGTGCGCGGGGAGCCGGCGGCGGGGGGCACCGGGGAGGGGGTGCTGGCCCCAACTCGTGCTCTCCGCGGTGCATTCCCCTTGCGCAGGGCTCGGCGGGTGCCTGTGGCTTCTGTCCCCCCCCCCAATACCCCAAAACGTGGTTGCCTATCGGATCCTTCCACCCACCCCCCCTGGCACCCCGTTTCCTGAGCCCCCTTTGCGCTTCTTTGGCACGCGCGCGGGGCACCGGGGACCGCGGGGACCCCAAAAGGGGGGGTGGCTGCGGCCACCCCGCGGGGGTCTCTCCGCCGGCGGCCTCGAAAAGCCCCGGGGAGGGAGGCCCGGGGGCAGGTGGAGGCAGCCGGGTCCCCGCTTGTTTACTTGCCGTGGGAGGAACTGGCCCCGGCCGCGACCAGGTGGCCTTGTGCACGAAGCCACTTGGCCGGCTGCTGTGAGAGCAGCGACCAAAAAGCCGCGGTCTGAGCTCATTGTGTGCTCGCTGCGAGCCCCGGCGCGCCGGGGACTCACTCCAGATTTATCCTGGCGTGACAGAGAGCAGAAGCGAGCCCCGAGGGCGCGGGCACGCATCCTGCCCCGACGCTTTGCAGCCGGGAAGCCTGAGCGGGGGGCTTTTTCGGGGGGCAGGCGGACGAAGCTGGGGGCCCCCCGCGGCCCCCAGGCTTTCCAAACCAACCCCCCCCCTCCCCACCTCACCACCACCACCGCCACCCCCAGGTGTCCCCTTACACGCTGGCTCTCCTGCTGGTCTGAGGAATTTGCAGAGGAGGGTGGTGGTGGTGGTGGCGGTGGCGGTGGTGGTGGTGGGGAGGGGAGGAAGGAGGGAGGCAGGGAGGGAAAGCGGGGAGGGGGGGGGGGGTTGGGGGGGGGCTGGAGAAGGGATGGCGCGGCGCCAAATTCCGCTCTGCCATGTCTCTGTAACCTGAATAGGCCAACTCCATCCCTGGTGCGAGTCCCCCGTGGCTCCGCCGCGCTCCAATGCAGTTCGGCGCGAGGAGGTGGCGTTCGCCCGGCCGCTCTCGTGTCCCTTTTCCCCCCCCCAGCCCCACAATTTGCCCCCCAGCGCCGCCACCAGCAGCTCCCCAGACCGAAGCGGACCCCGGCTCCTTTCCCTCTGCCACCGAAACCGCCGGCACCGTGCCGGGAGGAGCCGGAGGTGGCCGGGGGGGAGAGGCGAGGGGCTGGCACCGCGGCGGGGCCGGGGGAGCCAAGGACGCGCGGGGAGCGGGCGGCTGGCGGGGGAGAAGCGATGGAAACCCGTGGAAGGTTATAGGGAGCCTGGGGGGGGGCAGGCGCTGCCCTGGCCTCCTTAGAGGAGGCAGCAGAGACCCGGGGCAGGCTATTTCTGCTGAGATCCCGAGGAAAGCTCTGGGAGAATTGTGGGCTTCTATAAATAGTGTGTGTCAGCCGAGTGGAAACAGGGCCTTGAAATGCTCCTGCTATTCTCCCGAGTGCTTGGAACCAGCTCTTGGTAAACAGGGCAGCGCTGGGGAGGGCTGCTTCCTACTTCCGGGCTCGCCACGGGAGCGTTTTGGGGGGAGCAGGAGGGCCGGGGCCAGGGGGGGTCACTTGGCGACAGAGCGGGGCCCCCCCGCGGGGCCGGCTGCCTGATGCCGGGCTGTGGCGGGGCCACCCGGATGCGGGGTGACCCCTGGTTTGCATTGAGACCCCCCCCGTCCCCTCCCCAGCGTGGCGAATTTCGGGGTTGGGATGCGCCGTGCGGTTCGCTCATGGTCCTCGGGGGCTGCCGGTGCCGGGGTGGGCTCAGGGCTCCGGGGGATGCTCTGCAAAGCCCCCCCAAATGGCCTGGGGTGGTTCTGCGGGGTCTGTCTCAGGAGGGGCGAGGTGCAGCCCCGGTGGACATGGTGGGGTCGTGGCGTGCTCCGTGTCCCTCTGCTCCCCGCCGCTCCTCCATCGAGGCTGGCGTTGGTCCTGCTGCTCCGGGGTTGTTGGGGCGATGCGCCGAGCGGTGTCCTGCTCCCGTGCGGGGGTCTGGGGGGGCGAGCATTCGGTGGCTGTTGCACCCCTCTGCTGGGGAACCCCTCCTTTGCGTGCAGAAGGGACCTGGGGACATTTCCCCCGGGTCATTTGGCTGCCTCTGGGAGCACCCCAGAGGTCCCAGCACGTTGTGGGGCGCCGCGGTGCGTGCGGGGCTCCCCCACGGGCAGGGCTTTGCTCCTGGCACCCTCATCCCGGGGCACTGCACCAGGACCCGGCCGTGTGGTGCTTGGCACCGGCTGCACGCTGCCCGGCCGTGCGTGCCGGCGTTCCCTCGTGCTGCAAAAGGTAGCCCGAAAACCGTGCTTTGATTATTTCCCTTCCAAAACACCACAGCAGGGACACAACCAGGGTGCCTCTCAGGGTGCCCGCCGCCACTTCGCACCTTGGTGCACGGCGAGCTCCGCGCTGCAAGGCGCCCGGCGCGCTCCGGGGGTGGCGGGGCGCCACGCAGCCCAGTTTCACCCAGTTTCACCCAGTTCCACCGCCCGGTTTCGGGGTCCGTCCCCGCGGGCTGGGTGACCCAGGCGAGGGCTGGCGCGTGCCCGCGCGGTGCCGGCACAGCGAAGCACGCAGAGCGCCGCGTGGGTGGGAAGGGGCGAGCGCGAGTCCGTTTTGCTCTCTGCCTTTTTTTTCTTTTTTTTTTTTTTTCCTCTCTTTTCTTCTTCTTTTTTTTTTTTTTTATTTCCCTCTCTGTGGGTTGAGCGTTGGGGCGACAGACAGGGAAAGTCTGAGCAATGGTCTCCGCGCTGGTGCTGTCTTCAATCAGCGCGTCCCAGAATCCCTCGCTCTGGGCCTTCTAGGCACAAGGGCTTACAGCGAAAATCGGCAGCTGCAGCTGCGAGTGAAAGCACAAGAGCCCGGCTGGGTCTTTGGCATCGGCAGGAGAGCAAAAAAAAGCTGGGGGAGGCGGGGAAGAGAGGAGGAGGGGGGGGGAAGAGCGATGTGCCCTGTGGTTTTTTTTTTTTGTTGGTTTTTTTTTTTCCAGCCCTGCCACCGAGGGTTGTGTTTCAGAGCCACGCTCGCCGGGCGCGGGAGGGGGGCGCGCGGTGATGCCTCCGGGGAGCTCATTAAATCCGCCGGCCCCCCCCTTTTTCCCCGTGCGCCTCGCCGGCCGGGATGCAGCAAGGGGAAGGAGGGAGGGACGTGCCGGGTGGAACCGGCTGCCCGGTGGGGACAGTTACTGGCCCAGGCAGGAACGCTGCCCCGGGGGCTCACCTGTCGGAGCACGTAGGACGGGTGCGTGCCAGCGGGGCCGTGACAAAGGCAGGCGCAGAGCCGGGGACTCCCTCCGTGCCGGGGCGAAGCCCCCAGGGGAACGTCGAGGTGGTGGGGGTTCGGGGGGCTCGGGCGATGCGGGGAAACGGGGGGGCAGCAGGCGTGAGCAGGGAGGGGTCGGCACGGGCACGGGCAGCGTGCGGCGATGGGGCTGGAGCGCGGCAAAGGTGGGCCCCAGATGGGTGCTGGTAGGGGTTGTGGCACCGTGGGGGTACCCGGGCGTGGGGACCCCCCTTCCCTATCCGAAAACCGACCCGGTGCAGGCGTGAGGGCCGGCACGGCCTCGCCTGGCACGACGCGGGGGAGATGAGGGAGAGGCGAAAGGTGGTGTCGGTCCTGGCGGAGGGAGAGCAGAGCGGATCTGGCAGCCGCCAGCCCCAACCTCTGCCCTTCCCGCGGCGAAACGAGCTCCAGGCGGCGGGAGCAGCATCCCTTCCCCGCGCCGCCGCCCCCGGGGCCCCGAGCCCTGCGCACGCTCCTCGCCTCCTGCTGACTTCAGCGCATCGGCTTGGGCTCGGCGCCTGTAAATTCCTCGCAAAACCTGGGCCTAAAATATCTGGAGGAGGACGGAGGAGCGCCTTGGGCGAGGGAGATGAGATCTTCAGCTGCGGGAGAGAGGGAGGCTGCTCCGCTGCAGGCGGTGGGGCCGTGCCGGGCTCCTCCAGCTGCCGGCCCCCGGGGAATTCGCCAGGAATAAATCTCGCCCCGGCAAACTTGGTGGCTGGGCTCGGGACAGAAGCGCCCGAAGGAGCGAGGGGCACCCGGGGCGGTGGCATGGGAGCGGGGCTGGGGCTCGGTGGCTGAGGAGGGACAATAAATGCTGAGAGGGAGGCGCTAGGCGGGAGCTGTGTGAGAACCAGTTTGCGAGGTCCAGATTGGCAGCAGATCCTGAACCAGGAGGAGCTGAGCATCCATACGGCCCCTGCCGAGATCAGACGAGACGACAGCGACTCGGTTTGGGGGAAGAAATTGGAGGCGGGGGAAGCTTTTTTGCTGAAATGAAATTTGAACCCCAAAGTGGGAGGGAAGTGGAGGTGGGGGGCACGGCTCTCTCCACATGGTTATTACTGCTGTTTTCCACCCAGCTGAAAGGAGAATGTAGCTTAATATGGACCCGCGGGGAGGAGAAGCGCTCGGGAACGGGGATTTGTCAGGAGGGAGCTGGGAAACAGCGAGCGAGACGTAGAGGTGAGCGCGGCCAGCGGCGTGCCCAGGGAGGTGCTGGCAGCCCGGCGGCCAGGAGAGGCCGGAGCCGGGCTGCAACAAGGCGCTATTGTTCTTGGCGAGCGGGGGGCCACCCGCGGCCCCCCCAGACCCGCCGCCTTCGCCACGCAGCTGGAGGAGCCGGCGCGGATGCGGGGAGGCTGGAAGGTCGCAGGGAGAGGTTTTTTTTCTGGTGGCTTCGTGGCCTGGCCGGGACCGGTGGGTGCCGGCGGGACGCGCGGTGCCAGGGGGTGCCGGCAGGGAAAGCAGGAGGGGGAGGACTGCAGGTGAGCGGGGAAAGGGCTGAGCCACGGGGGTGGGAGCGGGGCGAAATGGGGCGCTTCAGCCCTGCGGGGAGCCCCCAGCCCTGGTGCTGTGGCTCTCCCCGGTACGGTGCCTCGCTGCGTGCCCCCCTGGCCCTCGCCGTGCGCCGGGGCTGCCGTCGGCGCCTCGCTGCTGGCACGGAGCTGTGGGGTGCTGAGCTGTGGGGTGCCGGCATCGGTTGCCGCAGCCACGGGCTCTGCCCCGGGCTGTGCTGGTGCTCGGGGACTCCCCAGGGTGCTGCGAGAAGCGCGGGGGATTGGCAAGAGGAGGAGGAGGAGGAGGAGGAAGAGCAGGAGGAGGCGTGTGGGCGCCGTGGCCAGGCTGGGGGAGGCGAGGGCTGGGCAGCTCTGCACAGCTGGGTTCAGCTTATCCCAGCCCTCCCTGGGATCCCTGGGGCCGGGGGCAGCCCAGGGCCTGCTGTGCCCATCCCCAGCCCAGCTGGGAAGGAGAGACCCCCCCCTCTTTATCCCCCGGGGCTGGCCTTTGCTCCCCATCCCCCCCCGTTCCCAGGTCGGCTCCCCTCTGCTGCTTCAAACGCGGAGATGCCCCGAAGGCAGCAGAGGCACCTCAGCAAGTGCACACGAAATATTTGAGCACGCATGGGTGGCTCTGGGCTCGCTGCGGCTCTCGCCCTTCCCCGGCCCTGCTGCTGCTGGTGTTGTGCGCTTCTCCCCAGATTTGGGGCACCCATGGGTGCTTCTCCTCTCGTCCGAGGCAGGGTGTGAGCTTTGCTCGGCGGCTTTTGCTCGGAATTCTTCGGGCTGCCCCAACGGGACCGGCGTGGCACCGCCGTGCCGCCGCGTCCACCGCGAGCCTCGCTGATGCCGCCCACCTCCCCGAAATAGCAGCAGGACCTCTGTCCTTCATCCCCACGCCCTCCTCTTCCTCCCCGCAGCGGCAAAGCACCCTGCAGCCGGGCCCGGAGCCCGTGTCGGGGAGGGGGGAGCCGCGCTCCCCTCCCCTCCCCGGCATTCCTCGGGAGTGAAACACAAGAGCTGGCAGGGCACTCGCGCTTTCTCTGGCCTCCGCTCCTCCGATTCCTGAACAAAGCCTCCTGCCTCTCCCGGGAGCCTGAAACAGGAGAGGCGGCTGCTGGTGGATGGGAAAGGCGAGCTGTTCCCTTCTGCCCCGTGCCAGCAGCCAGGCGCTGGGGGACGGGGGTGGGTGGCGGTGGGCACGGTCCCCAAGGTCCCCGCGCGCCGACGCGCACGGCCGGAGCTGCCCCGTGCAGGGACCACGGGGACCGTGCCCACCCTCAGCCTCACCCCGGTGCCCCACCAAGAAGTGAAACCCCCCCCCCCCCCAGTTCTGGGGAAGCTCCTCCAAAAGCCACTGCCGTGGGTGATGCTTGGAGGGCTGGCCCGAAGGGCTGGCCAAAGGACTTCCCATCCCCGCCATCTCGCTGCGAGATGCCCATGGTATTGCTATGGAAACTGAGCCCCGGAGAGAACCGGGTTGGCCCTGGAAAGGACCCAGTGAGCCTGGGAGAGGACCAGGTTCGCCCTGGGAAGGACTGGGTTACCCCCGGAGAGGACCAACTGAGCCCCAGTTTGGCCCCAGTTTGGGCCAAGCTCCCAGCCTCGTGCATGGATCACGGGACGGCGCACCCGGACCCGTTTCTCCCCCGTAAGCGGGGCGATGCGTCCCGCAGCCCCCTCCCCAAAGTCCGACCCCTTCCCGCAGAACAAAGCCCCCCCCTTCCCCGCCGCCCCCGGTGAAGCAGGCCCCTGTCGGAGCGCAGTCCCCGACAGCGAAGGTTATTTTAATGGATGCATTACTTTAAACGAACCCTCCGCCATCTGTTCCACCCCCTAATTACGCATGCAAAAAAAGCCCATCTCACAGCCAGCGCAGGAGAAAGTAAAGATATAAGTGATTTAAATGCGCCGAGCCCCAGCTCCGCCAGCAGCTGGGGTGGGCTGCGCTCCCCTCCTGCCTCCTGCCTGCCAGGAGAGCGGGGCAAGGTGCGGGGAAGGAGGCGGAGGGACGGGGCTCCCGGCTCTGGTGGCGGCTGCTGGCGAGGAGGAGGAAGAGGAGGAGGAAGGTGGTGGCCAGCCCCGGTGCTGGCAGCAGCAGGGGGTTGGCAGCAGCCCCCCGCAGCCCCCCTGGAGGTTGTGCTGGAGGCTTGGGGGGGTCCCAAGCTTGGCTGGGGTCAGTGGGGTCTTGGTGAGGTCCTGGTGACGGTGGGGTCCTCGTCCTGCAGGAGCCTCACCTGGGGATGTGGGGGTGACAGTGGGGCTGGGACCCCGCTCTGTGCCCCATGGCTGTCGGGTTGGTGCTGGGGGCTCATCCTCGCAGCCCCCCGGGATCTAGGGGGGGATTTGGGGAGCTCCAGGGGTGCAGCAGGGGCAGCTGGGGAGGGCTCAGCACCCGCAGGCTGTGCTGGGGGGAGCCTTTCCCCAGCCACAGCTGCATTTCCAGGAGCTGTCCCCAAATCCCAGGCCCCGCAGTGCCTGGGGGCGATGCTCGGCCCTGGTGTTTTGTCCCCGGGGGTTGCAGGGAAGCAGAGGAAGAGCGCGGGGGGGGGCAGGGAAGAAGCCCTCCACCGAGGCAGAGCCCGCGGGTAGTGGAACAAAATGACATTTCCAAATCAGCCTCCTGCTTCGGGGGGCTGGCAGCATGCTGAGGGTGACAGCACACCAGGATCAGGGGCTGGGGGCCGAATCCCTTCAAAAACCCCGTCCCTGGGTCCGTCCCCGGCGTGACTCAGTTTCCCCCACCCCCTCCCCACCCCTCTCCCCGTGCCGCCGCGTCCCGGGTGCCGTCTCCCCTCTCCCTCCGTCTCCCTCTCTCCGTGCCTGACTGCAGCAGATGCGCCAGCTCTGCAGGAAGAGGGAATTAAGTTGGGCTGGAGGAATTTTAAAGATTGCTGCAGGCCTGAGGGTCTTAGATACCCCTGTGGAGATGGGCAGTCATGCAGAATTAATCCTATCGGCAGCCTGGCTCGCCTTCAGCCGGTGCAGATCTCCAGGAGAGCGCGAGGGAGCGCGGGGGGCGATGCTGGGGGCAGCTGGGCGAGCACCGGCGCCTCTCGGCGTTGATGGGAAATTAATAATGAAAAATTAAAGCCCCAACTCAGCCTTTCCACGGCCCGGAGGTGGGACTGGCAGGGGGAGGAGGCGAGCGAATTGTGCAAGGCTTAAGGAAAACCTGTTTGCCGTAGCGAGCGGAGCCCGGTGGCGCGGGCACACAGCCAGGGAGCGCGCCGGGGCCGCATCCTGCTCAGCCTGGAGGCTGCTGGGGTGCAGCCGGGGCTGGAGCTCGGCGTCCCCCAAAAACCGAGCTCTTTGCACCGGGTTCCTGCGGCCACCGGGCTCAGCGTGGGGCTCGGCACCAGCGTGGGGGACACGGGGACGCGCTGGACGTCCCCACGTGCCGCGACAGCCACGTGCCGCAGAGCCCAGGGTGGCATCTGCTCACCCCGTGGCTCTGCCAGCCCTGCAGGCACCGGCGTCCCCATTGTCCCTCCCGGTCAGCAGGGCTGCAGTGCCACCAGGCCACCGCGCTCGGTGGCCCCGTGACGCTGGGCAGGGTGGCAGCTGCCTCCCAGCCCCCTGCTCCTGTTTTATAAATAATGCAGCGCCCGGGGGCGAGCGCAGGGTGCTGTCACCCCAGCCAGGTGACACCAGGCCACCACCCCGCCCCAACAAGCAAGAGGCAAACCCCGCTGTCCCTGCACCCCCTTCTTTGTCCCCCCAGCCCCAAATAGCGGGGCCGGGCGGTGGCTGCGGCGGGGGGCCCGCGGCGACCCCACGTGCCGTCCCCGCGCCTCGTGGCAGCGGCGGCGCCGATGGCGGCGCGCAGCTTGCAGGGTTGCCATGGCAATGTGCTGGCGCTAACGAAGCCGAGTAAACATTAACTAACGAGGGAGAGCCCCGCGCGGGTCAGGGCTGGGGGCTGCAGGAGCCTGGGGGGGGGCTCGGAGCTGTGGCGGGGGCTGGGTGCAGCGGGAGCATCCCTGGACCCCTCTCCGGGCTGCGCCCCCCGGTGCACCGAGCCCTGCTGGGGGCTGGCGGGGGAAATGTGCCCAGGGCTGGGACACCGGGGGCCCTGTCCCCTTCTGGGGCCACCCTCCGTGGGACAGGGACAGCCCTGAGGACACCGGTGCGATGTGCAGGGGCCAAGCATCGCCGTGGGTGCCAACCAGCCATCGGCACCCTCCTTGTGCTCGCAGCCCTCCTGCAGCACCCATGGGTGCAGGGCAGGGAGCTCGGGGCGTCCCTCGGCCGCTGCCACCTCCTGCAGTTGTCACCGTGACTCGAGTCCCCGTGTCCCTCCCCGCTGTCCTGGCCTGGGGACCCTATGCTGGGGGTCAGGGAGGGGGTCAGCCCCCACGGCAGGGCCCCCACGGTGCCAAAGGTCCCCTCTGCAGCTGGGGGCGCGGTGCTGGCGCTGCAGCTCATTAGAGGGAGGTGCAGGTGCCCCGGGTACCTTCCTCCTCCCAGAGGGCTCCTAATGAACGGCTGCTAACGAGCGCCTGCTCGGGAAGAGGCTGATTGGCGAGCAGGCACCGGGGAGCCATGCACAGGGAGCTTTTTTTGGGGGGGCTGCAAGGGGCTGAGCAGCCCAACCTGGGGAGCCTTCCCTCTGCACCGTGCACGAGGGCCCCGTGTCCCCGTCCCCGTGCCAAATCTGGCCCCCCCACCAGCTCTGAGCAGGGC